GCATAGCACAGCGCAGCGTAGCATAGCATAGCATAGCACAGCATAGCATAGCATAGCATAGCATAGCATATTGTTGCTTTCCTAGAGGCTCCAACTCCTAGGTAGGGTCGCACTGGGATAATGTTTATGTAAATGTATATGTTTCTCTCTCTCTCTCTCTCTTTCCCTCTCTCTCTCATCTTTATATCTCTCTGTTCCTCTCTCTCTTTCCCTCTCTCTCTTTCTGATTTGCACATAGTATCTCGCACACACACACACATCTTACATTATACATGTATATGTATATTTTTGTATACATGTGTGTATGTACAGATGTATACATATGCGCGTGCACGGATGTACCCATTCGGGCTTATTGTTCCTCTCGGTTCCAAAGCCATGGACTGGCGGACCTCCACGCCAGATGGTTCTTCCCTCGCCCGTGTGTACCGGTGCAGCTCCGCGGCCTCAGACTCACAGCAAGCCGCTGAAGCCGGCGTTCGGAGCCAGCGCGGGCGCCTGGCCAACACACATTGTCAGAGGGGCGTCGGCCGAAACATCCGCCGAGTTACATCATACACTGGCTCAGTGGGCCCTGGAAACGACAGGGCCGTTTTTGTTACCGGTTCCGTTTTGCCGTTTTTTTTCCGGTTCCGACGCCGTTGTTTTACCGGTTCCGTCGCCGTTTTTTGACCGGTTCCGGTTCCGGTTCCAAGCTTGAAGCCGTTTGTCTGCCGTTTCCGGTCACCGTTTTTTTGCCGTTTCCATGTTCAAGTGGCATTTTTTGGAAACGGCGAAAAAACGGCCCTGCCGTTTCCGGGGCCCACAAAGGCTAGGCTTGCTTTTTTGAGCGCGCAAAGCTTGGCCAGATACGGGCTCATGAGGGGTTTCAAACGCCAGGGATCGACTGCAGAATTGATCAATCCCAGAGTTGAAATGTTTGTCGAATTTACGGCAAATCAAACCTCCGAGCGTTCTACGGATTTGCCTTGGATTCGACGGAAATTTCAATCCTTGGGCACATGAATTATGTAGTCGATCCCGTGCTTGAAAACACTCGTGTTCCTTGCTCTCGCCACAGGTCACCCGAGGTAACCTGAAAGGGGCGGCGCGAAGAGGGTCGCGCCTCGCGCCGTGCGGCCTAGGCCACAGAGTTATCCTTGACGCCTGCGGAAACAATCGATGCCCGCGGGCTGATGCTCGCCAGCGACATATCCACCATGACCCGTCCCCCGTGAGTTCTCATGATCGTCCGCAGCCCGCCCCGTGGGGCTGGATCTTGCGGCCAAGAGCGTGCGCAGTTACACTGCATCCCCTGCCCTAGGCTCTCTCCTTGACCATGTCTGGCACAGTTGATGTCGTCTTCACGCCGTTCGCAGCCCGCTCCGCAAGGCCCAAGCTGGCGGCCAGAAGCGCACAAGGCTCAAATGCCTCTCCTTGCCCAAGGCTTTCGCTGGCCTTGTCGTAAGAAGACAGCCATAGGGGCAGTTGGCGTCGCAGCCCCCCCCAGCCCACCCCCCTTGGGGCTTGGCTTCGCAGCCTCCCCCCCCGCTGCTGGGGGCTGTCGACGTGCTTCGTCGTCACTGCGGCGAGCGCCCACCGGAGAGAAACTGCGGCGAGACGTGGCCAACCCAGGCGCAGGCAAGGCCAGACACGCAGGTCGACCGCCCGGCCTAGCGCTCGGCCCTCGTGTGGCCTACTGGAGCCGCCGGCCGCTCTGCACGCGCCTCCCGCGCGTGGCCTCCGCACCGCTCTGCGGCAGGAGGAGGCGGAGGCCCCGTCACCTGCCCAGTCGAGGATGCCTAGCGTTTCCGCCAGTGCCTGACTCGGCCGCCCGACGCACATGCACTTTCGGCTCAATTTGACGTCGGGGTCCCTCCCGTCTCCCCCTCCCTGATCGTTCGGGCGCCACTGAGGTTGTCGCACCCCTCCCAGGTCGGAGAGGGGCCTCAAGGCCGCGTCCCCGAGACACTCAGGGGCAATCAGCTTTCTGGCGCTCAGGAAGAGGAGGCGTCGGAGAAAAGTGAGGGGGGAGGAGCAGGAGGGGGGAGGGACGGGGAAGGTTTGGAGGAAGGGGCGAGCAGGAACATGACAAAGAGGAGACGATTTTGAGTCATCCACCTCCTTTGCTGCATTCCTCTAAATCCTTATTTCTCTCTCTCTCTCTCTCTCGCTCTCTCCCTCCTCTTCCTCCTGCTCCTTCTCCTGCTGCTCCTCCTCCTCCGCCTCCTCCTCTTCCTCCTCCTCCTCCTCCGCTCCTTTATGTGGCTCTCGCCTTAGCGCCGCGCATATTCGTTTTAAACATCAAGAGCTTCACGGATTGAGAACGGGTGGTTTTCAGGATGTGGCTCTCGCCTCATCGCACATTCATTGTAACAAATTGCAAGAGCTTCACGGATTGAGGGTGGGTTGTTTTCAAAATGTGGTTATCGCTGTAGCGCCGCGCACACTCGTTGTAACAAATTATAAGAGCTTCACGGATTGAGGGCGGGTCGTTTTCAAGATGTGGTTATCGCCTTAGCGCCGCGTGCCTTCGTTTTCAACATGATGGACCCACGAACCCGGAAAGGGATATAGACATGTGGAGCATGGACACGTTTTCACGATACCCAATTGGGCAACACCTCACGAAACATCCCACGAGACACTTCACGAAACATCCCACGAGACACCTCACGAAACATTCCACGAGACACCTCACGAAACATTCCACGAGACACCCCGCGAAACATTCCACGAGACACCCCACGAAACATTCCACGACGACAGGCAACCACTCAACCAAGGCGGTGTGGTCGTGCTGGGGAGTGGTCGTGCTGGGGTGTGGTCGTGCTGGGGGGTGGTCGTGCTGGGGGGTGGTCGTGCTGGGGGGGTGGTCGTGCTGGGGGGTGGTCGTGCTGGGGCGTGGTCGTGCTGGGGCAGTGGTCGTGCTGGGGCGTGGTCGTGCTGGGGTGTGGTCGTGCTGTGGTGAGGTCGTGCTGGGGTGTGGTCGTGCTGGGGTGTGGTCTTGCTGGGGTAGGGTCGTGCTGGGGTCGGGTCGTGCTGGGGTGTGGTCGTGCTGGGGTCGGGTCGTGCTGGGGTGTGGTCGTGCTGGGGTATGGTCGTGCTGGGGTCTGGTCGTGCTGGGGTGTGGTCGTGCTGGGGTATGGTCGTGCTAGGGTGGGTCGTGCTGGGGCTGGGGTCGTGCTGGGGTGTGGGTCGTGCTGGGCTTGTGGTCGTGCTGGGGTGTGGTCGTGCTGGGGCGTTGGTCGTGCTGGGTGGTTGTTTGGGGTCGTGCTGGGGTGTGGTCGTGTGCTGGGGTGTGGTCGTGCTGGGGGGGTGGTCGTGCTGGGGGGTGGTTGTGCTGGGGCGTGGTCGTGCTGGGGCGTGGTCGTGCTGGGGCGTGGTCGTGCTGGGGTGTGGTCGTGCTGTGGTAAGGTCGTGCTGGGGTGTGGTCGTGCTGGGGTGTGGTCTTGCTGGGGTGGGGTCGTGCTGGGGTGTGGTCATGCTGGGGTGGGGTCGTGCTGATGTGTCCCGCACCCTGTGATGTATCGATAGGGATTTCAAAAACAAGCGTTTCGCCTGAGACATCCTCAAATTTCAATCCGCGGCCCCTCGACACTCGATATTTATAGGGAAAGAATCCGCCGGCACTCATTCAAGTGGCACCGGGGGACAGGTTTACTTACTAAAAGAGAACCCTGGCCTTTGCCCTTTCCGGGAAAAAGGGAATTGTACAAGAGGTTCATTGATAGTGGGCGGTTCCTTTGCAACATGTGGCTCCTCGCCTTAGCGCCGCGTGCTTTCGTTTTTTGAATGCGCAAGAGTTTCACCGGCTGCCATGATCAGAATATCAGAAATGTTGTTTTCGAAGAGTTCAGGGTTATGAAGGTCAACGGTAACGTTGATTCGTGGTGTTGACGTCCCAGGAATGGCGTTCTGGCACGAATCATGATCGTCAAGACGCAACAGTCAGGTTGATTCGTGGCGTTGGAATCCACAAAACAATATGTAGGCATGCCTCAGGGTCTTCAAACAGTCATCTTCCAACGAGGCAGTTCCCTCAGTGGAAAATGAACCGTTGTAGGAGCCTATGAAGAGGGAGCTTGGAGGGAGGGTTTATTCCAACATCGTTGATGGCACTTGGGTTTACACTGGTCCTCCTCCTCCTCCTTCTCCTCCTCCTCCTCCTTCTCCTACTCTTCTTCCCTTATCCTCCCCCCACCCCTCCCTCCTCCCTCCTCAGGATGGGGAGAGAGAGAGAGAGAGAGACCAACGATCTGGGATCGCAGCGCCCATTGCCGAATTGCCCCGTTGCCGCCAAGTTTGATCGGCCCGGTCTGGCTCGCGTTGAGTCGCTCTCCACGCAAGTGCCGTAGGAGGGAAGGGAGAGAGGGAGGAGGAAGAGGTAGGCGCGCTCGTGCCATGTATGACATCCTACCCCTCACACCCATCCCTTCCCTTTGCGCTGATGGTTTCTTCGCCGACGCGTTTCAGGGCGGACCTGGAACCCCAGAATGACCCCATGGTATTATATTTACGCGCAATCAGAGCTCGGGGAGCTGCGCACATCGGAGCAGGAGGTGGCTGATGATGATAATCATGATGATGATGATAATGATGATGATGATGATGCTGATGATGATGATGATGTTGATGATGATGATGATGATGATGATGATGATGATGATGATGATGATGATGATGATGATGATGATGATGATGATAAACAGGATGTGAGGAGGTGAGTGGATGATTGCAGGAGCGGAAGAGAGCCCCGGGGAGTTAGAGTAGAGTAGAGCAGAAAGGAGAGGTTGAACGAAGAGGATACGGGTGGCGGATGGGGATGGAGGTGAGGGGGTGGAGGGGACGGGAGGGAGGCGACGGGTTAGGCGGGGGGGGCGAAGAAGAGGGATGGGGGGGGGAGGAGAGAGAGGGGCGGGGAGAAGGAGTGAGGAGAGAGGGAGGGGGGATGCGGAGGGAATGGCCAGGAGTGGAGGTCAGGGTTTCTTGATCGAGCACGCCTGACGTGTCCACCTAAGGGTCAGCGGAGGACTGGGGACACAAGAAAGCCAGCTGCGCGTCTCCTCATCTTCATCATCGTTCCCCTCTTGCTCGTCATCCTCATGCTGCCAATTTTCCAATTGTGCCTCCTGTTTCTGCTAGATGTCTCGTGTATTATTTGTCTCCTGGGGAGAGAGGCCTACGAGAAGGAGTAGGGATAAGGAGGAGGAGGAGGAGGAGGAGGAGGAGGAGGAGGAGGAGAGAAGCCGAGGAGGAGGGGGGAGGAGAAAGATGATACGGAGAAAGCTGATAAGGAGGAGTAGATATACGGTCAGGGGGGACCATAATAATCGTGAAAAGGCGGGATGAGGAAGGGGAGGAGGAGGGCCAGGGGGAGGGGGGAGAAGGAGAAGGCGGAGGAAGGGGAAGATGATGAAGAGGAAAGGGGGAGAACGACAGAGAAGGAGGAGGAGGAGGAGGAGTCCAGGCTCCCCTCACCAGGCCCCCTGGGATAGCCCAGCCGGTCCCACCACCCATGCGCCACGTCTTGTGGCCCCCCCCCCGGGCGTTCCTCAACTTGGGGCTTGGGGTGTTGAGAACGCCCAGGGGCTGCAGCTGGCACGAGGGTTAAGAAGATCCCTGGCTTTGGGGGGTACCCTTCCGTTCTTCGTGCTTCGTTCCTCAACTTGGGGCTTGGGGTGTTGAGAACGCCCAGGGGGTGCAGCTGGCACGAGGGTCAAGAAGAACCCTGGCTCTGGGGGGGTACCCTTCCGTTCTGCGTGCAGGGGCTCTCCACCTGCTTCTATGGCCCCCCTCGGAGGGCTCTGCCGGGCCGTCCGCCGCGTCGGCGGCCGCTGGCGGGCGACGAGCGGCCGCCGATGGTCAGGAGCGAGAGGAGGAGGCACGCGCACATGAATCCACGCTGGTCTTGAGAGTGCGCATTGCGCAACTGTTCGTATCACGCGGCCAGCCTCGCGGATCGAGGGGCCGCGTTCCTGTACATAGCTGGGCGCGTACGTCCCTTGTGGGCTCCCTGGATGGGGGGGGCGCGGCGAGGGCCCGGCGCGCGGCCGCTCGGGCGGAGGGCGCGGCCCGGGCCTTCGGCCGCGTGGGCGGGCCGCGCGGCTCGCCGTGCGAGCGGCTTTTGGGCGCGGTGCCCGGCCGCGGCTCGCGGGGGGCGCGCCGTCGGCGCAGGCTCGCGGGCCACGAGCGGCTGGATCCGAGCCCGCGCGAGGAGGAAGGTCGGCGGCGAGCGACGAGGGGGGACGTGAGAAGGAGAACCGAAGAAGCAAAAATACTCCATAAACGTAAATGTTCGGCGCTCCGCGCAGATCTCTTGGGTCCGTGCCAGGGAGGGGGGCTCAGCGCGGATCCTAGAGATCTGCGCGGAGCGACAAAAGATCATGTTTAGGGCGTTTTTTATCTTCTTCTAGAGAAGGCCCCACAGAATTGGTTTAACCCAAGATCGAGGTGATCGTGGCGCTCTCTCCCTCCTCCTCCTCGTCCTCCTTCTCCTCCTCATCCTCCTCCTCCTCCTCCTCGTCCTCGATCCTCGTCCTCCTCCTTAACCTCCTTTTCCTCCTCTCGAAGAGTAGCAGGAACGAAACAAAACATAATCATGCAGGAGGAGGGCGAGGAGGAACAGGAGAGGGCCAGGTGGGGAAGTGGGGAGTGGCATGTTCACTTCGTTAAGGACGGGAAGACGAGGGGCGGCTGCTGTGCAATCTGCTCTTCCGTGGCATCCAACCTGCAATCAAAGCAAGGCCGCTGGAGATCCTCGTGCGGGAGAGCACGGGGGAAGTGGGAGGAGGGAGAAAGGAGGAAGGAAGAGGCAGGAGGGGACGGAGAAGGAGGAGGGG